ATGCTGCTTTAAATGTGTCTTTTATATGAGACCTTCATCCGTAGTGTTTTGTTTTGATATTTTGTAATTTTTATTACATGCTGTAACTTAGATTGTATGCATGCTTTGAGGGTTTCTTTTTAAAAAATATAAAGCAGTATAGAAATGATATGAATCAATTGATGAAAAAATTAAAAGGCCACCTGAATTAAGCAATGCTACATCTTGCGTGAATAGCTTCCAGCATTGCATTAGCATTGCACTGCATTTCCCAAATTGCTCTCCATTCTTCTAACAGTTTTGACATAACCATCTAAATGAACATCAATTGGGCAGAGAACTTCCTTTAAAAGATTCTACAAGAAGAAAAAGGTTGAAGCAGTTCATTGGAAGCAAAATCTGCAGCAAATTCCAAAGCACCATATGTGAATATATCAGTCTGGGAATATATAGGAGAATTCAGGCAGCCTTCTCCCTCCATGTGCAAGGCTGAGGAATAGGGCACATTCCTTGATTTGGCCCCCTTCCTTGTGTCACTGTTGCCATTCCACAGCCAGTCATATCTGCACTGAACATTTAAAGTGCAAGGCTTTCCCTCAAAAGTTCTGAGAATAGCAGCTTACCCGTCAGACAACCACAACTCTCAGTACCCTTAACAAACTAGTTCCGAGGATTCTTTGGGGAGCAGTCATGCACTTTCAATGTATGGTGTGGATGTGATACATGTGTTGGAGAATAGTAGGGAGTTCATGTAGGGCTCCCTCTGTGGCTTGGAACAATGGGAGTTCAGGGTTCCAAATCTAGTAGGAGCCTACATATGTAGAAGAGGCTTCCCACTTATCCCTCCAACTTATGGCCACAGTGATATGAGGGAGGGGATGCACTCTTCTCCTTCAATCACACAAGGGAGATGCTTAGGGCTAACAGGAACAATCCAGGATGTGGAACAAAAAATATTTTTCAGTGCTAGAAGTTAGATAGGGTCACTGTATATAGTAGGGCTTGCATCTAATTATCTTAACTAATTTGTGAGATGATGCTTTGTTGATTAAATATGCATATGATAAACATTAGTTATGAGGGGAAAGAATTTTTTTGTTTGTAAATGATATCTGCATGCGTTGGACCAGGGACAATATTCAAATAATTTTCCTGCTTTATGAGAGAAAGAGAGGAGCCTCCTCAAAGATAGTGCCTATTACCCAGTTTTTATGCATGCATATATTAAAAGTGGTAGTTCTGATATGCTGCAGACTTCATTGCTGAAGTAAGGAGCAAACCCACACTGATAATCTTGCTTAAACCAAGATTGACAATATCATCCATCCTTAGCCTTATCCATGTTATATCTGAACGAGGCCTAGGATGACATAGCTTTCCAAAATGAAAAGTAGTACAGTATTTGCCAAACAGTGCAAAGTGTTCTCCAAATGCATTTAAAATTGGAACCATCTTTTCCTTTTGTTATTGCACTTAAGGCTGATGGATTTAAACAGTCCCCACTAAATATTAGAAGTGGATTCAGTAAACTGAACTTTTTGATAGCTGTAGCAAACCTGTAAACATGTTCTTAGTTTTTATCTGGTGCTTTTAAAATACAATATATGAACAAAATATAAAAAACAATATATGAACAAAATGTTTTCATAAGGTAAATCAGGTCATCAACCTGTTAATTCCTTTGCCTTTCTGGGGAATGTGTTTGAATGTGCCTTACACTTTCCCAGCATCCTGTTTTCACAGTTGCCAATTTTCAATATAATACTTTCAGTATTATATTGTTTTTATTAAAATTGATAGAAATAGATATGGACAAAAATTGATTATTTTTCAGTACGGTGGGGAACTGTTCAAGAGTGGGAACTTCCTATATATCATCAGAGATCATAAACAGAATGAATGTCATCATAAATTATTCCTAAGTATGCAAAACTGATCCAATATTTATGAAAAGAACCATCTTGATTCATCATTGTGTCTTGATTCCCAGAACTGTAAAAAGTCCATTTATAAAAGTCCAGTATGTTGATGACTCCATAATATATGAACCAGGAGAGGCTGTGCAGGCCCTGGACCAGTGCCTGGATGCAGTGGTGGCCTGGATGATGGGAAATAAATTGAGCTTGCATCCAGAGGTTGCAAGCTCATCCAGAGGTTCTGTGGGTTAGTGGTTCCTGCATCTGAGAAACTGGCCAATAGCCTGCCCTAGAGGAAGAGGTATGCAGTCTAGTAGGTGCTCCTGTATCCACTGGAGGCCCAGGTGGTCTTGGTGGCTAGGAGTGCCTTTTTACCAGGTTGACAGTGGCAGCCATTCCTTGATCAGGATAGCTTGAGTACATGAGTTCTGGTATTGGTAACTTGAAAACTGGATTACTGCACGCACACTTCCTGCTGATTAATATTACACAGGCACCCTTGCAACATTTAGTATTTCAGCAGGCCTATGCAGACACATAATTTAGTTATATATACTTGTTTACAATTTTATCTGTGTATTGTTGTATTTTGTACTATTGTATGTGCACTGCTCAGTTTTTTTTATTATTAAGCAATTTATAATTTTATATATATATACACAAAGATATTTTACAGTGTCTGACATGACACTTCTGTTCTTTTTTTTCAATCACACCTACAAAAAATGGTTAAGTTTTAGTTCTGAGACAGTTCTCAGATGAATAAGATTAAACAAATTAATCCAAACTTGTTAGTAGTGATGGTACTTATGGCTCTCTGGAATCCTAAGGAAGTGAATTTGCAAATGATTAAAAGATGTTCCCTCCAATGGTTGAGAAGCTGCACAGCTAGTCATGGCCTCAGATTCAGCTTTTCTTCTGACTACTCAGTTGGCAGCAAGGTTCCTTTTACAAGCTGTTTATTTATTTTCTTACATATATATTTTATCTTCCTTCCTTCATGAAACCCAAGGCAGCATACCCGGTCTCCACCCGGATGCAAGGTGGTAGCGATCCATGTTTCTTCAGACCACACCCTGGGGCCATTATAACTGATTAAATAAATAAATATCATTTTTTCTTATGACAGGAGCACTCATATTTTATTCACTATTCTCAATAGTTGACTAGTACAATGCACTTTACATGGGTATATGACTAAAGTGCCATTCGGCGTAGCGTTCTAGATCATGGCTGTTGCATCTTACAAAGTGGACTACTCTACATTATAGCTAACTCACTGAATTATTTTCAGCTGCCTGCAATTTTATGCTGATTACTTATGGTAATTTTATGGAAGGAAGTGCGTACTTGGAGGATGTTTAGTGTGACCACTTTTAGTTGTTATTATTGTTGGTACATTTTAAAATTTACTTGCTTACTATGTAAAGCTACTTGAGAACTTTGGGTATGAAACAATGCATAAATAAAGTTTAGTGGTGGTGCTAAGAGATATATTTCTTTCCTATGTACTTAGTAGTGTACTTTGTAGTGTATTTGAATAACATTCCAATTTAGTATACTCCTTTTTCTTTGCTACTTGAGTCTATAGCCCACAACTCATGTGGGTGATAGCTGGGCAACACAGATGGAGAAGTACTTTAGCTACAGTAGATGTATCACTTAATTGAGTCCAATAATATTTGCTAGCAAGCTGTTACATTCTTGTGTAATTTATTCATCACAGCAGGAGGAAATTTACTCAAATTCTGCCCACTGCCCTCTTAACTTTAAGACACATTTGTAGGCGTCGATCCAGCAGTTATACAAACTTAAAGCTCACTGAGCACAATTAATTTACTTGTTCATCATTGTGCACTAGATTATATTACTAGAATCCTGCTAAATTTTATAAACTTATAGAACTATAGGTATTTACAAACAAAGTTTCTTTCCCTTGAAACAGATTCTTCTGGACTTTAAATGCTGTTACACTGCTTGTGCTTGTTTTTAGCAGGTAACTAAATGATCGATTTTTATTGTTTAAAATGTATCCATTAATGTTTTAATATAATGTCTGAATTTACTTATTTTATTTAACAAAATGTATATACCACTTAATTGTTTTTAAAAAAAACCTGCTAAGTTTACAAAAATACAAAACATAAATGAGTATTTTAAAAGATTGAATCACTATTAAATAAATTGTTGATTAAAATCAACAAAAGCTAAAAAGAAATAAAACACATGCATCTTCTGCATGTCTGGATAGGTTTGCCTTAAAAAGATGTTTCAAGTAGGCGCTAAAGAGTACAGCAGAGGCAGCTATCTGATCAATAGGCAGGAAGTTCTAAAGTGTAGGTGCTGCTACGCTAAAAGATTGATTTATTACACGTGCAGAACAGTGCCAGTTCCACAGATCGAACATAGGGTAACACAATCCCACAAGTAAACACTTTGAACTTGGCCTGGTAGCAACTGGGCAACCAGTGCAAATCTCTGAACAGAGTGTCATTCTGCACTAACTGTAGCTTTCTGATCAAGTACAAGGGAAGCCTCAACAGTGGCGTAGCTAGCAAGATCAGGCGGTACCCGGTGTGGAAAATTTCTTGTCACCCAGCCACACATTGAATTTTTTTTAATTTATTTATTTTTGTCTGCAAAAAATGGGGAGCCAGAGTTGTTGAGCTTTTTTGCAGAGATCGCATGCCTTGCGATGAAGAGTTGAGTTCCGCACGACACACCCGGGGCAGACCACACCCACATTACTTCGCCCCTGAGCCTCAACTACAGTGCATCTGATATTGAAGTCAGTAATGTCTGAACTACTGTGGCCAAGCTCTCCCAGTTCAGGAATGGCCATAGCTGTCACACCAGTTGGAGAGGGTAAAAGGTGCTTCTAGCTGCTGAGGTTATCTGGGCCAACAATGCAAGAGTTGGATCCAGAAGAGCCCCCAGACTATGTACCTGTATCTTTCAGTGAAGTACAACCCCATCCATGACAGGCAGTTGACTGTTTTCTTGGACATGGAAGCCACACACGCACTTCAGATTTTTTGAACTCTACATGAGCTGTCCACAGGAATTTGTTGATTGGGTGGTCAACAAATATTCCACAGAAATAAGTAATAGTTTTAGATTTAATTATTTTCTCTCATAAGGTTGATCTCTAATACTTTTTGAATTGTCAGTGTACATATTTAAATATCATAGAAGTTTTAGCTCAGTTGGTTACAGCATGGTACTGATCCCTTTCAACTTTACAATTCTATGATTACACCCCATATAATAAAAAAATATTATAATTCTAGGATTCTAAATCACAAAATTATGTCTTAAAAAAGGTTTACTTCTTGTCAGGCATATACAGAGGCAAGTAACAAGGCAAATACTCTTGGTAAATGGAAACGGATAACAAAACATTATAAATTATAAATTGTGCCGAGCAGATCTCAATGAACCGGATGCTCCTGCAAGTGAAAAGAGGTGGGGTGATTTTTGCTGATTTCTCCTTCTCCGTGCAGTCCCTTGTGCCCCTGCTCTCAATTTGCTCTAAGGGGTTGGGCAATCCTCCAAAACAGCATGGGAAGTAGTGCTGGGGGAATTAAGGGAACAGGATGAATCAATGAAAATTGCCTACCCACCTTCCATTCCCAGAACTGCAGGTCTGGTTCCAAACCTATGGCACCGCAAATACACACACACACATATTGTAAAGGCAATTTTAATACACCTAGTTCCCATTTTACCCAATGGCTGTCATCTGTGATTCCTTGCAATGTTCTATTAGTTTTGGTCTGACTTTTGTTGGTTCAGGCTCATTTGCATATGAGCAATACATGCTGTCCTAAAACAGTAGCAGTACATAAAAAGTCTGACATGAATATGCACATAACACAGGGCTAAAAGAATAGGGAGAATGCTGGGTGGAACAAGGAATTTCCAAATAACTTATTCCTAGACAACATCTACTGGTGCTGTGAGTTATAGTAGCTTAGTGCTCTTTGGAAGACAGGGTAAGTGGGCCTCTTGGGGCCTATCATTCTCCCTCTCTCTGCATAGTTGGAGGGTATTCATATAGCTCAAATCAAGCATGCTGTTCCTTGCTCTCAGAGTTTATGTTTGTCTCTTTCCTTGCCATAAAGTGGGGACAGGGGGGAAAAAGAACGTTCACAGTAAGAGGCTTGGAATGGAGGCAATGCTGCATTTTCCATAGACAATATGACAAGCAAATAGAAGAATCCAAACTTTAGTTCAGGGGTAGTCAGTGTGGGTCATCCCAGGCCTGACTGTGCCTCACCCTCTTCCCTCACCCCCTTCCCCAAATCCTAGATATGTTGGGGTTGGTTGTGAATACTTAGAGGCGAACAAAAGACATTCTACTCATGCTCAAATCATCTGTTCTTCCTTCCCATATCATCATGCTGAGTCCTGACACTGAAATAATGTGCTGAGGCTAAGCTATAGTGAGCCCCAGCTAAAATTAAGCTCTGGCACCAACCAATACTTATTTTCACCCACATCTCCATGGTTGGTTGGTTATGCCAAGACTGACAGGCTCCCACTTATTCCATTTTGAGACAGCATTTGAAGTTGTTGTTTTTAATACCAGAAGGCATTTTATGACTAAGGGTGAAAGCCTATACATGTCTGCTTACAAGTAAGTATGTATAGCAAGTGGCTAACTTTTTTGGCTTGAGAGCCGCAATCACCCTTGGCCAGTGCTCTGGGGGTGGTTACTCATATGCAAGCACACACAGGGGCACACAACCCCTAACCCTAACCCCTTCTCATTTCATCTGTGGAGATCAACTGAGGAGAGTTGCTATTCAGTGTTGCTGTTTTTAAGCAGTTTTTCCAACTCTACAGTAAAAATAAATAAAAGCAGAGCAAACACAAAGTGTGCTTTACACTTTACACCTTGCTTGTACCCTGTATCAGTGACTGTTTCTCTCATACTCAACTCATTTATGAATCCATCTTAGTACAGTAACTAACTGGTACAAAAACAGGAGTACTTTGTGTTTACAAGGTCACGGCAAAGCATTACCTGCCCAAAGATGAAGGCGAAGAAGAAGCCATTGGAGCAAAAAAAAAAAAAGGGGTGGGGGGTGGGGGGGTGTTTTACTGTGGTTTGGACATTTTAAGTTTTCTACCCTTATATAATTTGTGTACATGCTCACCCTGACATTGCCTGTCATTTAACTGCTTAATGAACACATAACTCTTAAAATGTCTCATTTCAAACTGTGTATTATCAATTTTATGCACAAATATTTTACTCTCTGTATTTTGTGCCTAACAGCACAGAAAAAAACACCCTCCCTACCCATCAAACTATCAGTCTGATTACTGAGGAGGAAGCAGTTTCTGTCCCTATGTTTCATACTAGGTGGAATCATTTAAACCTCTCCGCTCACACCAACCCCATGTCTACATTACATTTTCTTTGTCGCCGCCACCACCAGCAAATTTGGAGGGGTCTGGGGGAGGCAGAAAGACTTGCTTGTCACGTCAGACCCCTGGGCTAGGGATTAGTCACCTGTGACGCACAGGATTGCCTCCTGAGTCTGCTGTTTTTATTGCATGTGTGGTGGTGTTTTTCATTTGCAGCATCATTTTTACATCGTATGTTATTGTTGTTAATTTGTTTGTTTATTTAAAGTAAGCCCCTTTTAAAACTTCATCTGAAAAAAGCATGGCCTGTAACACAATAAACAAGTAAGTTTCCTGGATGAAAATGGCGCCAAAGATACAGCAAAAGGAATGCCTTCTAAGAATCTGAGGGAAGGGAGGAGCAGATGCCCTAATCTGTCTCATAAAGAATCCCCCCCCCTTTCCTCAACCCACATTTCTCATGTTGAAAGGACCTATCTATTTATACTTAGAAGCACCTCCTACATGTTCCTCTTTCCTAGACTCCACCTCATAAACATCACTGAAGTGAAGAATAACCAGGTCAATTTGGCTCTCGTCTGGTGACTCTGGACTAAGACTGGTGTTATCAGTTTTACTAGAACCTGTCCGTGGTGTCTGAAGGAAAAGAAGAGCAGCCTTGCTCCTCAGAAGGCAGATTTTCCATTATTCTTTGTGAGCTTGGACAAAATGGCTCCTGGTTATCAGGAGTGAGACAGCAAAGACATTTGGAGTCACATGATCTGAGAATAGCTGTCAACTTTTCCCTTTTCTTGTGAGGAATCCTATTCGGAATGAGGGAATTTCCCTTTAAAAAAGGGAAACATTGACAGCTATGGATCTGAGGGAGATGAGGGGGTGGTGGCAGAAGAAATTAACTCTGGGGGAATTTGATGCTTCCTGAGAAAGGAAACGTGTGTTTATTTTCTGAGGGAACGTGCAAAAGTCAATTCTCAACACGCCTTCCTATACTATCATATAGATGGTCATAAATCCTGTTTTTCTCTCAGATAAATTCTTCATAAATAACTTCCCACTGGAAAAGGGCCTTGCTTCTATTCCTCCAGGCAAATCATGTTTCTGATATTTCCCCAATGATAAGCCGCACACAGGGCCCTAAATATAACAGCTCAGTGCAACATTATTATTTCAGAAACCATGGCAACAAGAAACCACAGACCATCACAACTTCATCATGGCTGCAGCCACAAGGAAAGAGCAGGCCATGCCTCTATCCCACAACATGATTTTTTTATCTCTTCAGGATGCGAGCATGGTGGTATGTCTCATTTTGAAAAGTGATCTCAAATCCAAGTATTCCGCTCACTGAGATTTCAGACACAGCTTTTCCTCACAGGACACGCCACCACTGAGGATGGCAGCTCTATATTCACAAGAAAGGCGACTGTTCTGCAGTTTGGGGAAATAAATAACTCCCTGCCCATTTGGATCCAGAAAACATTAAAATTAAATATATATATATTTTGTACTTCAAGAACTGCTTTCACTGAACTGCTGCTGTTTGTTGCATGTGTTCATAAATTTAAATATATTGAAATTAAATATGTCCATAGCCAAGCATCAGAAATTGGCTGAAAAGTGTGGGGAGGGGGGGGGGTCACCCAGGGAACATGGCAGCTTAGGCCTGCATCTCACTTCCATAGTTCCAACCAGAACACCACTAAACTAGTTCAGCAGCTGCTGAAAAGAAGCACCCACACGGGGCATGTCACAGCACATTTTTGCAAAAAAGAATGGACCATGGATACATATTTTTGGACTAAAGAAGCAATTCCAGCATCTGAAATAGGGCAACAAAGAGGAGTCTTCCCTGTCACCTAAAGTCTGGAAGTCTGAGTTTTCAAGAGTTTAGGATTGAAATGACAGCTCTGTTAGCAAAAACTAAAACATTGTCTTACAGTGGAGTAGGCCTCTCCAAGCTAAGCTTTTGGAGCAAAGGAATGTGGACACAACCTCTGAAATAGATGGGATTGCTAATGAAACCAGGATTCTAGGGCTGTAAACAGAAATTAAAGTAACATCTCTGGCTAAGAAAAACCAAGGGTCTCAGTTTAAAATGGAAGACATAGAAAACTGCTATCACAATTTGACTACATAGTGACTGGCACTTCAATAACTGATTTCTGTCCTTCCTAGTGTGGGATTGTGCCTCATATTTGAACCAGGGATTTACAGCATGTAAAATAAAGTGTTCCACCATTTCAGATTCTGGAAAAGTCTAAGTACATCCATGATCTGTGTTGATTGCATTGTTATATAAATATAAATTGCAGCTTGAACTACTCTGAACACATGAAAGTTAGTGTGGGGTTTGTTCATGCTTGCATCAAAGTAATTTGTTTTTCCACATGAATTCGTGCAGCAATTAGCTTAGCCTTTGGGGGAGAAAATATGAAAGAAAACTGGCAAGAGGTAAAAATACAGACTTTCAAAAATAATTTTCACAGCTTCAAGTCAACCACAGAAAGGTAATAGGGCACAATAAAATATATAGGTAGAATTTACACCGTGTTCTCTGGAAATATTTTAAAGGAATCAAAGTTCAAGTTATACAGGAACAATATCAATAATTACAATACTTGGTTCAAGGAACAGCTGCAGGGCTTTTCCAGCTTGTCCTATGTGTTTGTTGCTCACTTGAAGCATTGAACATTCCCACATGGTTTCTGCTATTAAATCACTGGGCAAATGTGCAAATCTTGTGAAGAGCTTATGATGCCTTTGTGACTGTTGATGTGCAAATGGTCCCCTCAATGAGTAGATGTGATTTTTTTGTTGTTGAAACTTCTCTGTATGTCTGCTGCACCAAGTTTGCAAAAAGGTGTGACACAGAAGAGCAAAAAACGCAGAGAGCAATCACATGAAAACTTACTCCATTTGTATCTGCATGTGAGTCTGTGCACAAGCTATTGCTTATGCTCACAGATACTAGTGCCATGAGCAACTCTTTTGCTGCTCTCACAATACTGTGTCAAGCAGGCATTGTTGTTATATTGCCACATAGGCTGTGTGCACACTGTACCCTTAAAACACATTTAAAGCACACACACACACCCCTTTGTTTGTTAAAAGGGTTGCTGGGAGTTGTAACTTTGCGAGGGGTAAACTGCAGGACCCAGAATTCGTTGAGGGAAATAATGTGCTTCAAAATGCTTAGGGTATGTACAGTGCCAGTCTCTGCATTTAGAACTGCTTTAATTTTCCCTTTGTGATTTGCTAGCAACTGATAAAATGTTGCTATATACAGTATCATCATAAACTGATTGTTCCTATTTAGTACATCTAACCCTATTTAGACGAGAAGAAAAAACTTCCTCTGCCACTCTGAATTGCAAATGGAGCCTCAGACCTTGCATTGTCTTTTCACTTCATCCATACAATCTGTTTTATCTCAGTCATATTTAACCACCCATTAATATTTCTTCTACAGCTCAGTATTTGACAGTGTGGATTAGATGTCTGTTTAGTTAACTGGACAGACACATGTGTTTGAGGCCAGAACACCCACCAGCCAATCTGGTTTACCACCTATGAGTATTACTGGAAGGATCTCTGAAATAGTATAAATGCAGGTTACAAAAAAAGAAAATGTAGAGAAAACACCATCTTCACTTTGATTGCAATTGACAAATACTGTAAACGGCTGGACAACTGATGAACATCTTTTGGAACCACTTCTCTCCCTTCAGGTCCCGTCCCTCATCAAAACTACATTTTCTCTCTCTTAATCCTCTTTCCCAACTGTAACCGAGCTTTTACGGGCAACCAAAATTGCCATAAAGCCAGAGTAACTTTACTGTGAGGAAAGGCTACAGGATCTGGGGCTCTTTAATTAGAAGAAAGATGATCAAATAGGAACATTTCAGAGATTTATAAAATGATGCTGCTTGGGATGGAGAAAGTCTTTCTCATATGACATCATCCAATGCAACTTGATTGGTAGGAAATTCAAGGCAGGTGATAGAAAGCACCTTCACAAAATGTGAAGAATTCACAACATGGCTTTAAATGTGCATAATGGCCACATGCAATCTGTAGCCTGAGAGACAGCTATTGCCTTCTTGCTCGGCTTATGTGGGCTTTGACATGGTGGGAAACGGGACCAGAAAGACTAGTAAGCTGCCTTGACTAATGCATACTCATTAATAAGGTTTAATAAGGTGGGGGGGGGAGAAGTATCATTATATAAATAAATAAAAGAAATCCAGAAAGACTCCACTCATACAGTGGTACCACAGGTTACAGACACTTCAGGTTACAGATGCTTCAGGTTACAGACTCCGCTAACCCAGAAATAGTACCTTGGGTTAAGAACTTTGCTTCAGGATGAGAACAGAAATAGCACAGTGGAGGTGCGGCAGCAGCAGGAGGCCCCATTAGCTGAAGTGGTACCTCAGGTTAAGAATAGTTTCAGGTTAAGAATGGACCTCCAGTACGAATTAACTTCTTAACCCGAGGTACCACTGTATAAGCAATTGCATTTATTGTTACTTAATTAATTGTTCTTTGTTTACACATTTATCAAAATGTTTATGCCACTAAACATCAAGATATCCAATTGATGTGCAAAAAAGGAGAAAAATCCATAACATAAAAAGAGCATATCAAAAAAGAGAGAGCAAATTTGGCAAAAGCTTAAAATTGCAGGAGCACAGCACATTTCAAGAGGAAGGGATTTACAGAGAATTGGTTACTGTACATAATATATTAGGCCCTGTTCCATGTAGAGGCCCACCAAGCCCCAAAATTATTGTGTACTCTTTTTTAAATTGACAAATAGATTGAAATGTTAAAATAAATCAAATGTGTGCATGTTCATTCTTCAGTACTTTTTCTCCTCCTGCCCTTTTGCTTTCCTAATATCCATTTAAATTGTAAGGTCCTTGGGGCAGGGACCTGTCTGTTTTTGCCAATGTAGAGTGACAGTGCTCTATAAACACAAAACCATTCAAAAGTTCTAGCTCCATCTTTTGTTGAAGGTACAAACTGTACGTAATAGTTTTCAATATATCTATACAAATATCACATCCAATACAATATTACTTCTGGCAGCTCATCTGGCAAAACGCCACTTGAAACATTGCCAGAAACTTCTCTTAGAGGCTTTCTGCTGAGTTCATGTTCACAGTCTAGTGGATAACTCTTAAATATCTGTGATGTTTTGGACAACTCCACCTGGACATCTGATCAAATATTGTAGTTTACTCTCAGCAACTTTCAGGAGTCATTTTATTTTCAGACTGCACCCTTGTTTTATGTCCTGTGGGCTGCTCTTCATTTTATTGACTGTGGGTCTTTCTAGCAAATCTGATGGCAGATATGAATACATAAATTTCCACAGGAAATTTTCTTTTATGCAACTCATTTTAGATATAAAGATCTATGTTTTGTAGCACTGCAAAGCTAGGAAGAGCATAGGCATAA